TGATGCTAATATTTTGAAAGTATTGTTAAGAATCCTAAATGAATTGGGAGGGTCAGGGTGGTGCTATCTATGTTTATCTCTTCTAGCCTTATTATTTATTTATTTTTCAGCCAGCACCCTGTTGTATCCTTGTTAGTGCTGCTCAACACACATGGATCAGCATCAATTTGAGTATAAATTGTCAACAAATGAGGAAATATTGACTTTTCCTTTAAGAAAGATGATAAATGATTGTAAAGGAGTTGGGCATAATCTTCATTCTTGAAATTTGTTCAGAGGTGCAGGCTAAGTTTTTTATGGAAACTTCTTTCTGGTAGGGATTGGGTTGCAGACAGCAACTTCTTAAAGCTAATGCAAGGCTTAGAATTCTCGATGTAGGATTTATGTTTTCAACACGTCTCCTCACGTGTGGTTCGCCTGAGCCAAACACATGGGTCAATTATATTGGGTGATGTAGTGCACGTGTGGCAAAACTGGGTCTAACACATGGATGGATTGCCTGCTACGCTATCACGTTAAAGTTATGGCATCCAACCCAGCCAAAGAGTTTTTTCTGTGTAATGCAAGGCTTAAATTCTCAATGTAGGATTGACCCTTAATTGAAACCTTCACCCTATCTGCAGGTAGTCAATGCTGCGGTTATAGTGGATCCTTCAGTTAAACAGGTAATCACTACTGCATGTGATCAAACTTGCTCTTCGTATAGTCCCACAAACAAGATCACCCTTGAAACCAGCTGCTGTGAAAAGCTAGAAGCTTTTATTTCCCATAGTGATTCAGATGGCGTATTGAACCATGAAACTGTGCATTCAAATAGTTTTCCAGACAAATCAAAACAATTATGTACCGGTGTATCATGTTTATATCCTTGGCAATGGGCTGATCAACAATCAGACATGAGTTCGTGTTATTGGCACCCTTTACGTCATGCTGCCATTGTTGCTATTGAATCTTCTGCTGCCAGAGACAGATATCTTTTCCCCAGTTTGGGAAAAATCCAAGACAAGTCTTTTGAAATGGACCGCATGCAGTCTTCTTCTGCAGGCTCTCTAGCAAAAAGACAAAAGACAAATTCTACAAATGTGAGTTGTTTCTTTGTGCTTCAAATTGAGCCATTTTGGGGAGAGCACTAAATGAGGGTGAGGGAGGGATTGTCTAGCGTACTCATTTCCAGTAATTTAGCAGTTCTTTTTTTCTCGGTAGGGGACCTATTGCTTTGAATATGAAACTTGTGAAATGTGAAGTATATCATTGTCACACAATCATTAAAACAGTATAACTGTAATTTCACAATAACATTGTCTTTGAACAATCGAAGTTCTTGGGTTGGGTGACTTGTATTCAAATTAATATTTAAGAATCTTATTATCTATTCAGGTTCATAGTGACGACAATCTGGATGCTAATGGTGAAGGTTCCAGTTCTTTATCAGCCAGGCCTTATCTATGTACAGGTTTTGACATGTACCTTGTTTGGGAGCCGTGCATAATGTAAGTTCATGAATAGTATACTCACTAGATTTCTACTGTGTCCATGAATTTGTTAGTTTTCCTGATAGTAGCATTTCTTTGAACTTTTTATGCTTGTGGTGTGTATGGTCCAAATGATCATTATGGTTCCATACTGAAACTTTGTATGGCCTGCATCACAATGAAACTGTTTCTCCTTATTATTATTTGTTCTTTAACTCTTACACTGCCTTTACATGCTTGCTGATAGGAACTTGAACCTAGTTGACATCTTAAATTTTGTTAATCATACTTCTTTCTTAATCTTGTAGTTATTCCAAAATCTTGTGAGACTGAAATTTGGACCATTCATCCTTTCATTTCTCTCCTCACTAAGATCTTTCAAAGGTCTGGAAATGTAGGCATGATTTGACGTCGTATCCATAGGTTATTTCATCTTTTCCATATGTAGGCATGATCATTTCGGTTCTGTCATCCTGACCTCTTCCATTGGTAAAATCTATCTTTTGTTGTCTGTCAAATAAATGCAAATTTATATGTAATTCGCATTATAAATCTGTCTTGCATCCTCTGTACACACTAGATAATGTGTGGAAAGGATTGTTTTATAGAAATCTTGCATTGGCTGATACACACTGTATGCAATTGAAATGTCCACTATGAAACTCTCTCTCTCTCTCTCCCTGTGGAAACTGGAAACCTGAGTTTGTGTTGTTTGTTTTAAACTAGTTTTATTATGTTCAATATTCTGATATTATATTCTTATTAAAGGTGTGCAATGGCACTTGTCCATCAGAGAATTAGGCGTATATTCTTTGCTTTCCCAAACCCAAATGCAGGGGCATTGGGTAGTGTTCACAGACTACAAGGGGAAAGAAGCTTAAATCATCACTATGCTGTATTCAGAGTGTTAGTGCCTCAACAAATCCTTAGTAGGGAGGGATGAAACTTCAATTACCAAATGAGTACAAATGAAATGAGAATATTGGTTTGATTGTTCTCCATCAGCTTCATTTGTGGACTAGACTAAGACATTGTTTTACCAGGAAGACAACTCAACTCAACTCAACTAGGTTACTGACTGACTGACTGGTTAGCCATTACCCATTTAGCCAAGAACGCAAGCAATCCAAGGCTTCCATGCTTCAAGCTCAAGAAGATTTCATTTGCCTATCCCCCTCTACCTTTGTGACTCGATTTGTCATGCAATGTTTTATCAATTAAGAGGATCATAAGTGCTGCAAACTACATGGGCACATTAATAATTTTGTTCACCATTCAATCTCCAGAGTAGCTATGGTTTGAAAGTAATATCCAAGTTGTTGAAAGAGTTGGAAGTGAAAAACAGTGTGATGCCCAACACTGTTATTTTGATAAAGCATGTAGGATCCACAAAGTCCTTTTCAAGAACTGGTTGATTGCAATCTAAGAGCATCTTGCAAAATGTTAAATTCGAATTTGATGGCTTATGTGGCAATTTGACACTTTGGAAAAAGTTTAAGGCTTATTTATGTACATGCCCCCTTTGCTTTCAAACTTGTCTCAAATTACCATATGGGCTTTGAAATGTCTCAAAATACCTCCTACACTTTTAAAAACCGTCTCACGTTACCCATTCCGTCAGTATTATAGACGTTTCGTTACGTGCTTTGGGCTCCACTTCATTTTAATCCTTAACATTGGAGAATAAGAGTTTTTTCAGCTTTAGAAAAGGGGAAAGGGGGTATTTGGGTGAGAAGGGGAAATTTGGAGAAGAAGGCTAGGGCTTATCAAAATCTGAGGTGGGGTTCAAATTTTGGGAGAATTTGGAGAAGAAATCATTGTTTGGGCTGGGTTGCTACTACTGCAGCTTGTAATCCATACCCAGTTCCTAATCCTTCGCCTTGAAGATACAAACTACAAAGAACAATGATATATTTATATATCCCATTTGAAATAGATGAAAGCACATCAAGATACAAGCTCATGTCACCACTCCCTTTCATAAAGGCTTCTTCTTCTTCTATTGCTGTTGCTGCTTTGATGGAGAGATTCTGCCATCATCAATGCTTTCGGTTGAAGTAACTCCATTAATCTGATCCAACCCCTCCTCACCACCCCCAACCTTTGAGTCCACTTCCTCTTTAAAGGATTCCTGCTCTTGTTCCCTCTCCGGCGAGAATTCCTTCTTTTCAATCTTGCAGCTCTCCCACATCTTATATTCAACTTCTACAGAGTCATCCTCTTTCTCTTTGCTCTCATCTTCTTTTGGTTTCCCATCCAAATTTCCCCTTCTCACCCAAATACCCCCTTTCCCCTTTTCTGAAGCTGAAAAAACCCTTATTCTCCAATGTTAAGGATTAAAACGAAATGGGGCCCAAAACACATAACGGAACGTCTATAATACTAATGGAATGGGTAACGTGAGACGGTTTTTAAAAGTGTGGGGTATTTTGAGACATTTCAAAGCCCAGGTGGTAATCTGAGACAAGTTTGAAAGCACAAAGGGTATGTACATAAATAAGCCAAAATTTAACTCCACTTGAAATCCCAAATATCATACTATTTTATTATATTTTAAAAAGTAAATGGGGTCTATATGATGCATAAAGTTTTAAAAGTGACTAAATGATAGTGGGGTCTATGACCAAAAAAACATCATGCTTTTTGATATGTTATTTTGGACATGTCTCTTCTAGCCTTCAAATTTATGTAGGATTTGACTACTCGGTTAGAACAATTTTAACCTTCAATTTTTGTCATTTCATATTCATGTGACAATTTGACGTATCAGTTGGAGATGCTCTAAGCAATTTATCTGTTTGTAACAATTGTGTAACACCAACACGTTATTAAGCTTTCTTTTTTCTTTTAAGGTGAATTGGCTTTCTTTAACATTACTTTTATTAAAGTCTGAGTATATAAACCTTTTCTGTTATCAATTAGGGGTTGGGGATTCAAATGTCTCCCAAAATTGAAAAGACAAATATAATCAGACCAAGAGTTACTTGGGACATTATCACACCTTTATAATAGCAATTGAACTACAATTGCAACTAATCACTTCGGAATGTTTTAATTACCTCGCAACACAATATCATGCATGCTACACGATATCTTTTTTTATGAGAAGAAAATAATTAGGGAAAAATACAAAAACAACCAGTGACAAAACCCTCCATTTGAAAAATAAAAAACATCCTAGCAATTCCCTAAATTGTAAAAAGAATTTTTATATAGCTGGCTGTTTCCACCCCCAACCAGCCAGCCACCAAAGATGCTGAGAATGATGAACAAATATAAACAAAGCGAGAGAGAGGTTACGCATACAACAATACCTAATAGGATGCTTCAATGCATGATACACTATCCCAAAAGACCAAGAATAATACTGAAATGATAGAACACATCCAAAAATCCCAGCAACTACAAATATTATGTAATTGCAAAAGGTTATCGAAACACTCGAACTGAGAAGTTGATAATTTTAAATCTGGATATACATAGCATTGGAACTGTAAAACTATACACCAAATTCCTCAACCATCTATATTTTGAGCACAAACCTTCAAATAGATGTAAAAACATCATTGAGAAGGTTAATACTTTGCTTCCATATACTTCTTTCAATCTCTCCCTCTTCCCTCTCCCTCTCCACCCCTTTTCTTCTCTATCTCTCTCCAGAGACCTGTTTCTTGATGACTTATGATTTTCAGCATCTCTAGTCATCATTTCAAGCTCCACTTTAGAAACTGATCAAGTTTGGAATCATATTTATATTACAAGATATTCAACGGATGCACCCAATACCATGACAAATCAATAACCATATCACAAACAGTATTACACAAACAGCCGCATCAATGGCAAGGACGATTCGCACTTGGCGGCACCACTTCTTTCGAATGCTTTGAGAGCCTGACCTAATCCTCATTGAGCCCAAATCTTTTTGTAATGCAATTGAAGAACCTGCTCCAGCATGGCTATTAGAATCTGAATTTGCTGAGTCAATATTGACACCTCTATCTGTAGATTTCCTATGTTCCTCCAACTCAATGTCTCTCATAGCAATAACATGATCTTTCGCCTTCTTCTTATCTTGCTTGTTAGGCTTCCCCAATAAAGGGGCTTTTGTAGAAGTGGCAACTTCAGTTTGTCCGTTTGCACCACTTGGTGATGGAGAAAGACCAGCATGAAGTGACAGGGAAGTTTCAGCTGTCCAATTACTACCACTCTGAGAAACATTCTCCAAGGAGGTGATCAAGCGGTGGATAACAGGAACTAACTGTTCTTGTATGCCAACAGAGCTCATACTCGACAAACTTCCCCTGGAACCCTTCCTGGCTACCTTCTTGAATTCGTCTCTCAAATGCTCTAGAAACTGAAGAACACCAGGGTTTCCTAGACTCTCATCAACAATTGTGAAATAAATATACCCATCTTCAATTAGGAACCCATAAGTCCTTTTGCCCACTGTCTCAAAATACCACCTATGAAAAGGAGGAGTCTTTTCCAAGCACAAAGTAGCCAAGTTCTCAATTTCACTATCTCCACCACTGTATACATAAAGGATCCGATTACCCCTTGATACACAACAGTAGTAAACGGTATTTTGAATGGAACCCATATTATACTCAATTGTAGTCTACAACCAATTCTACTGGTGAACTGCCAAGCATCATCAATACCAAACGAACCGTAATTATGTAAACAACAACTCAGATACAAAATCAAAAGCGTCCAAGAAATACAAGAGCAGTCCTTCAGCTAAGTACTCAAAGTCAAGAATGTAAGTCCACCATGCATTGTTTTTCGCTTTTCAGGGGCACCTACAAGAGCAAGAAAAGAAACTACTCTCAGGACCCTAATCTGTAATCAGAACAAAGAGAAATAGACAATCAATGAAAATACAAGAAGATTCCTAACAAACCCACCCACAAAAATTCATCAGTCATTACCTTCAGGCTTCAGCATAAGTTAAAAGTCAGGAAATTGAAAGTTTCTAATTAAATAACGACATCGCAAAACCCAAAAAATACATGCTATGAGACCCATGAAATCAAACGTTCAGTGTAATCAATGAAAAGAAAGGGACCACAAGTTATACCAAATACTAGAGAAAGAAAATCAAAATTTTAGATTGACCCAACTACACAGCTTCAGAAAAACACAAAGATCTACGGGAAATATATTGAAAATTGAAGGTCAACGACCAGTCAAGTTCTGTTTGGTATCGATAAATAGTAAGAAGGGAAGAAAAACTCAACTCCCCTCCAACAACTGGTCTGACTTTGGAAGGACTTGTAAGAGAAAAATGCTCTCTGTTTGAACAATTTTCTCATCAACCAAACAGATCGAAAAAAGTTTTATGCCACAGATTTACCTGAAGAAACTCCCCAATAGAAGCCTTGGGCAGGAGCCAGATTATACATGTGAGGACTGGCTCACTGAGGAGAGAGAGGTGGTGTTAAAATGGCAAAGCCTCCAAACAAAGCGATTGTTTGCTTCACATGCGATGCGATGCGAGCAGTACTTCTCTATGCTCTACGTATTCTAGTTGACATTTTGACTTTTCTTTGTTCTAGTTTGGGTCTTCTACTTCAACATACGGACAAAATGGAGGAGCTACTAAACACAAACAAAAGATGAAGATGCGGAGCGATCGATCGGCAAATATTAGTAGGGCCGGCCATGGGTTAGTTGGGTTGGGTCGGTTTTGGTCATAATCGTAACTAAACTCGATATACAGTGGTTTATGATTTCTTGAATCCAAAACTTGCTCATTATTATGCCAACTCAATCCAACCTTTTTGTGATTGGATTGGGCGGTTCGATCGAGTTAATTCAAAATAAAGCCATTTTAAAATTTTGGTTCTAACTAATAACCCAACACATATAAAACGGTTTATGATTTTTGAACCCAAGACTCACTCATTATTAGGCCAACTCAACCCTCTAATGATCGAGTTAGACAGTTCGATCGGGTTTACCCGATATTGTGCCATCCCTTAAATATTTGTATTACTTAAGGCCATCTCCAACCCAATGTGCTAAAACTCAACCATTGTTGCATTATAACTAAACATTTCCTTGAATAAAGTATTGGATTAATTGGATGTTTGTTTTTCCAAACAAAAATAATAATGTGGGCCCTTGTATTGTTAAAGATTGTAAGTGGTTCTTACGTTCAAAATTCTAGGGTTTGGTTTCATTTTTTTGTCTGAATTTGGGTTTTTTTTTTTTCTCCAGTGGTTTGAATTAGGTAGGTGATAAGAATTCCCAAGATTAGTAGAAAACCCTAACCGCCATTAATGTATCATTGTGAACCTTCTAATTTTCTCACGCTTTCTTGAACCTCTTCGAGCAGCCACAACGACCTCATTTACACAAGCAGCCAGGAGTACAAGACCTCTAACATTGGATTGCCCCCAAATTCAACCCCACGGGCCAATCTCCCCCTACACTACACTTCACCAAATCATTCTCCAATCGTGTAGATCTCACGTTCGAAATTCTAGAGTTTGGTTTCATTTTTGGTTTGAAAATTAGGGGGTTTTTTTTGTTGTTGTTGAAAAGTCTGAATTAGGGGTTTGGTTTAGAGAAAATGATAAAAAGCTCCCACGAGATGGGAATGGAGGATGTGGAACGATGAGAAATGAAGACTAGGAAATTCATTTTCTTCCATTTCCCATGTTTGGGAAATAAGAAGCTCCTACTAGCTAATAAATAGTTAATGAAATGAACAATTTTACTTTTTCAATAGTTGTAAGATAGAACATCCTCTCAAGTCATTAGATAGAAGAATTGTCATCGATGGTTATAATACATGTGTTTATTCACAGAGTATGATAGTCAAAGCAAATGATCACCAAAATTCCTATTTAAAAATTTGTCAATTAATGTGTTAGCTGACGAAGTAACAGTGTAACTTCAAACTAAACGTAAATACTATTTCACTTCGTGTCGTCATTTTTTTTCTTTCATGAGAGCTACATATCTCCTTTTATACAATTCACACTTTATTACACTATACTAAAGATATGTTACTAGTCACATTTCTTTTTAAAAAGCTGATTTTTAAGCTAAAGACCGAAAAAAAAAGGAGATTCAAAGAAAAAAAGTAGTAAAATGGTGTTTGTTGTAAAAGTGTGGATGTTGTTCAATTGGACCTAGAAGAAGACTCTTGTTAGGTCATCCCCAATGGGGAGCCTTAATTGGCAAAAGAAACTTTTTTATCCCGAGCTAATAACACAATGACACTTGAAAAGATTATTCCACGTGTCATTACGTTTTAGGTTAAGAATAACAAAAAGTGCTATACCCGTTGCTACGTTATATGTTAAGAATAGCAAAAAGTGTTATACCCGTTGCATTAGAGTGTCTCCACCACCTTGGAGCTCAAAAATATAGAAGCCAAGTGTAAAAGGGATCCCCAATAGAAGAGTTTGTGGGGCCCCTATATCATAAAACTTGCCGGAGCTAGTTCTAAATATATGGAGTCGTATAGAGCCTTAGAGCCCAAGCGGGCCCCACTGTTTTCTAGCATCCCTATTAGTATTTGGGAGCATTTTTGCTCACCACTTTAACCATAGGTGTACCCTCACCACCATCCTCAATGCTTAACACGTGTCCATAGATGTAATCAAGATTTCATAAATACAAAGCAAAAGTTGCTTAACACGTGTCCATAGATGTAATCAAGATTTCATAAATACAAAGCAAAAGTTAACTATGGTTATGTTTATGGACACATGTCAAGCATTAAGGATGGTGGTGAGAGTACACCTATGGTTAAAGTGGTGATAAGAATAGCAAAAAGTGTTATACCCGTTGCATTAGAGTGTCTCCACCACCTTGGAGCTCAAAAATATAGAAGCCAAGTGTACAAGGGATCCCCAATAGAAGAGTTTTTGGGGCCCCTATATCATAAAACTTGCCGGAGCTAGTTCTAAATATATGGAGTCGTATAGAGCCTTAGAGCCCAAGTGGGCCCCACTGTTTTTTAGCATCCCTATTAGTATTTGGGAGCATTTTTGCTCACCACTTTAACCATAGGTGTACCCTCACCACCATCCTCAATGCTTGACACGTGTCCATAGATGTAATCAAGATTTCCTAAATACAAAGCAAAAGTTAACTATGGTTATGTCTATGGACACATGTCAAGCATTAAGGATGGTGATGAGAGTACACCTATGGTTAAAGTGGTGAGCAAATATGCACCCACTAGTATTTATGTTCCAACAGTTCCTTTTTTTTTTTATAAAACTTATGTTCGCTGTTTCCTTCATCTTTTTTTCCCGTTTGTTTTTCGAATCGTGTCCAAATTTCGATTTTTTTAAGTAGAAATGTTCATTAAAACAAATAACATAACATAAACATACATTAAAATAAAATAATTTAACAACCACAAAATTATTGCTAACACCTGTAATGCACCAGAAAGATGATTATCAGAAGAAAGGGCCTTGCAAGATACTAGTTGCATGACTCATACATCACTCTCATGGCTCATGCCAAGTAAATAGTAACCCTTCATTACAATCACATCTTAATTCTCAAACTCCACTAATCACCACATAAAAGTGGATATTGTTCATAATATTCATTGGGAAAATGAGAACTGGATGCCTGTCAGATTCAGGCAAGTGATAAACTCACCTACAAGCAACCAAACGTTCTCATCAAGGCAAGACCGACACCAGATCAATAGGAAAACCATTCATCAAAGCTTTTCTTTTCCCATCTGAAACACCAATGTACTTGTTTGTAAATTATACAGGAACTCCATCGATTGTTCTTAGCAACTCCTTGCTGATGAGCAAGCCTTCATCTTCTTGGATGTTAATATCAAAATTTCTTGAATGTTTCAGTTTAGCTGCTTCTTGCCTTTATATAGAAGAATTCGACCAAATACTCTCTCAAGATATGGCAGTTTAGAAGCTTTTACACTAAACGCTGTGTCTCACTTGGATACTATACAAGTATGCAGAATTCTTGATGGTACTGTCAGCTTTGATGCCTCAATTTAACTCAAGCTGTGTGGATAGACAGACAGAGAACCAAAGAGATGTCATTAGCTGAAAATTTATCATATTGAATAAAATTAGTACAGGCATTTAGAGATCTGTGAGGTCAGCTGTTCAAGGAGACTATTTAGATGATCCTGAAAAGTCGTTTAGGAGTTTAATGGCTAAAAACCCAGATTCTTTTTATCTGGTGCTCTTCCTAAAGCTGTGGTGGAAGCGACCTCATTGAATAAAGTCAAATTTGGAGATACAACAGATTAATTACTCTAGTACTTTCTGTACTACTTGAAAGTGCAAATGATAGGCATTTGTTAAACAAATTCACAAATGAGAATTAAGACAAGATGTTGTGTCTCATAACCTTAAAGGTAATAAATAAAACATAGGAAAAGGCACAATCCATCGCAATAATGATATCCAGTGGAAATGTGATAATCAAATTATGAGAATTGCATTTATATAATAGCAAAAGAAAAACTTCTTTAACAAATTCTTTTGAAAACGGGGGCAAAAATATGAGGGAAAAAAAGAATCAGCTAAGCGAATGATAAAAAAATAACAAATTACCAGAAGATCCACGAGTATGCTCATGCAACTCAGTTGCATTTCCTACATCCCTCAATTCTCGCTTACAATCAACCCATTGAGAACTTCTTGGATCTTCTTTGGAACTGTGTAGGACAGTTCTAGGTTCCTTATTCCTCAACCCGGACTCTGTAGCTTCTGTTTCTTCACACGCTTGAGGCATCTGTGGAAGGGGTGTTACAAAATTATTCTCTACAATAGAAGATTCATGACTCGACTCCACCGGTACATCAGGCGATTCATTTTGAGATTTATGAGACGAAAGGAGGGATAAGCGGCAGAGTGGACAGGTGCTGTGGGTGGAAAGCCAGCTATCAATGCAATCAATATGAAATGTATGGGCACAGGCTGGTATTTGTTGAAGCCTATCCTCTGCTTGATAGTCACCCAGGCATACTGAGCATCTGCAGAAAAACAAAACATGCCTCTTTGGTTGAGAGAATGCTAAAAGTTCTAAGGATTTATTTTCATCTAAAAAGAACACACCATCGTGGAAATAATTTTGAAATTATATAGTAAACTATTAGCTGTACTTTGTGCCAAATAAAAATTTATGGACATTAAGACGTGTTAGTTTTAATTTAATATGATTTTGAGAAATTCAACCATATTTGTTTGAAACAATAACGCCATGTCTGAAACAAGAAAAATGATAACATCTTCTGGCCACAACATACAAAGGATTGGTGATCCCACTAAATAGAAAGAAACCCAATCCTTAGTATACATGGAAGTATTATTTTTTGTTTTTTTTGTGGCCAATAAATAGAAAGAAACCCAGATTGATCACTGACATAGAAAGTTTGAAACAAAAACAAAGCTAATACACTTAAGCAGTCATTGCATTCCAATTACACAAAACAAAAGCATCATGATTAACTTAAAAATATCAAACACAGAGGCAAAATGACAGAAAAGAAGGAAAGCCCCACTCACTGTGTATCTCTCACGGAGAAGCTCTCCTTATATACAATAATGGGTAGCATCTCTCTCAGTTCTTTTTTCAAGCCCATTTCAACCTGCAGGTAAACCATTTTAACATAAAAAAAAAATGATATGAGCTCAAAATGCAAACAGATAAACAAACAGTGAAACAGATGGACAGAGAAAATAAATAATTCGTACAGTGGCAATGTCATTGTTAATCTGTGGAGAAGTTGTCATTCTAAGAGATGACCAATTGACCCGTCGAGGGCGAAGATAGAACAAGTAGAAGACGAAGAGGAGGATGAAAGTGAAGAAGATTGGTACACAGAACACGAAGAACTGGTAAATCTTGAATTGACCAGAAGGACTTTCTTTTGACTTACTAGAAGAGTCTGAAGAGTTTAAGCAACATCTCGGATATACATGATTATAAGACATCACCTCAAATCCCCTACAGGCTACAAAAAATGAAATTATTTAGATAAATTTAAGTATTGTCTTGAAAATAAGATCTCAATGAACGGAATCCAGTGAGCAATGAACTGAGAGAGGGGAAGTGTAGTTTGAAGATGCACTTTTTCAACGGCTCAAATCTAAAGGAGATTCCATATTATTGACAAATGATTGAGAAAAATGTAAAAGTTTTGAGGAAGACCCAGATGAGAGAATTTGAGACAGATTTGTTTGATGAAAAGCAGTAGCATATACCACCAAGATGAAAAGATTCTATGTGTATTTAGGATTAGAAGCAAGCACAGAGAGAGAGAGAGAGAGAGGAAGCAGAGAAGATTGTAGTGGGAAGAAGTGGTATATAAATTATAATTATAATAAAGTGAAGTAAAAAAGAAGAGTTGGGTGCGGGAATGAGGATCATGAGATGAGACGATGAGATTCATGGTATGTTTACTAATCAGGAATTGGAATTCTCATCAGGAATTGAATTCCGCATAAGGAATTGAAAAAGTAAGCGGGGCCCACACAAAATTAGGAATTGAATTCCTGATTTTGGAGGAATTCAATTACTGAATGGGAGGTGGTATTCTAATTCCTGGAGAATTCACCCATTAGGAATTCATCTTTTTTACCCATTATATCCTCACACAATTTTCAAAATTCCAAATACACCATCTACTTTAACCAAAAAATGAGGACATTTTAGTAATTAGTACCACTTATACCCCAATTCCTTATGGTTTAGTAAACAACTTCAATAGGAATTCGGAATCTAACTCCCCTCAATTCATATGGTTTAGTAAACAACTTCATTAGGAATCCGGAATCTAATTCTTCTCAATCCAACTCCTCCTCAATTCAATTCCCCCTAATTCAATTCCGGATTAGTAAACATGTCATCAAAGTAGATCACAGGTGCCATGCCAACTTGCCCCAGAACTGCACGTGTCCAAGGCTAGTGCTCCTACCCTGTCAAACAACTTCACTCACACTTACAAATGCTCATCTCATCAATTTTAGCCGTTGGATTCATTAATTAAATAGCCATTACGTGATGTCAAATAGTGATTAAATAATTTTTTTCAATTATTTTGCATTTAGCTGATTTCACAACTGTCATCTTCATTCGAATATAACGTTTACTGTTGCCAACTCCAATGAAAAAGGACCTTTATTTGCAGATTAATGTTCTTATGTTTAAACCTCATGACATTTTAATAATGTATCTGTAAGAAACCCTCCGCTTTATGGCTTGTATTAAAAAAAAAAATTATGTTTAATTTTTTTTTTTTCACAAAAATAAAAGAAAAAGAAAGGAGACACATTGACAGACAGCGTTAAATAAATTTGAGCACAAAATGGAAAACCTCAATCAATCTTTCACTTCCTTTTCTGGAATAGCCTAAAAAACACAACGAAAATATATCATTATAACATCCTAAGGTTTTTGAGGTTTCGATAATATAGGTAGAGCATTTGCCAGAACGTCAAGTCAATTACACTGTAAAAATAATAAACTCAAGCAACTTTCTTCCCTCTAATTAAACAACCAATAAAAAAACACAGACAAAAGACAAAAGGAAGAATAAGAACCAGACACTACGTGATCGTGATTTCATCTCCTAACAGCTCCATTACATTTCATCATGAACCAAAAAACCAGGAATAAAATCAATCGTCATTATTGTAATCAATCACAAGCCAAGCTCTAACTTATATAAAAAGTTAGGAGAGAATAAACATCCACCTTTCAGAACTTATACCTACCTGAAACAGAATCCACAGTGGAAAATACTATATTATACATTGTGTTGTGACCAAAGCATATGTTCTTTCACATTCTCATGCTTGACAAAAACACTGGTTTAGACATATCCAACATGCCAAAATAAAATCATTTACATCCATTAACCACAAAGTGGACAAAAGAATTGTGACTACTATTGCTGACCTGCCAAAACCATACACCTAAACACAACATGAGTGAGAGGCACCAACTTCTTCATTCACTGAGTCTTTGGTTTTTGAATCTTCACATAAGGGAAGAACCCCATGAAGTGGACTACTGCTGGATTCCATCCCAATTGCTCAGCACGACAGAACATTAAAAATGTGTTTGCAAAATAAGAATTAAACCCCATAAAGACGTGCCACAAAGCATGACCTTGTGGGTTAAAGTACCAGCCACAGACTTCCCTGCACAAGACGCGATCCAAAAGCCAACAAAGAATCCCTAGGGATATGGTGCCCAGATACAACTTTGCAAGCCACTTGGCATTTACATCTTTTGTGTAGATGTAGTACTTGTACATTCGAGGAATGCAGAGAAGACAGAGTATCACATAGTGTACCTTAAAGCCAATTCTAAGTCGTACAAGCGAATGGAATACAGCAAATACAGCACCATATAGAAACAAGAAGGTGGGCATTGTGCTACGATAGTGCCAATCTGGTGAGTAAAGGATGTAGATATATAAAAGCATTTCCCATACCATTGGTGTTTCATCACCTTGCTGCTGCCTGGAAACATATAGAAATATCTCAAAATTTCAGATCGAATAGTAGATAAACTAATCAAAACAATTTAAGTCATATACACAAACACAAGCTAATTTTGACCGACCAGTGCAACATGGCTGATGGGGCTAACAGCCCACTTATATCAGGTGTTTAGTTGTAGGGGTTTATCAACAAACAGATAGAACTATGAGGTAACAGAATTATATTCATATTGACATAGACAACCACAGATTAATAAGAATTAACATAAGTTTTCAGGCTTTATGAAATCTTTTGGTAGTGTGGAATCAAACATCATCTTTTGCTTCAAAGATCTTTTTCATACTCCAACATTACATTACGTAAGTGGTTTATGCATATATTTGCCCCTCCCATATAACAATTCCTCTGAATACAATAGAAAAAGAGAAAAGGAAAAAAAAATGCTAGTAAGAAAGAAAGAAAGAAGTGGTTGTGCTAGTAAGAGAAAACAATCTCTATAGGCAATAAGACAAAAACTTTGCAGAACAATATCAAATATTATCATCAAGAACTTTATCGCAATTCATAAGTATCTCATCAAAGGTTTGCAGAACACTACTGAATTTCTATATATCAAGGCCAAATTATCAGTTCGAAGCTTCTGAATTTTTCTTTTCACAACACTCACATACACAGCTACCATGCCCCTCTGATGCTCTCAAGAAGATCCTAGACCATCTCATATTTTCATTCCCTCAAATACACCTGATGCATCTTAAGAACTCAAAATTACATAATCTTTCATCTACTGCAGCTGCTCAATTGCAACTGGAAAAGATAGCACATAAGCACTGTGTTGACTGGCACATAAGGGGACCGCTCATAAGTGACCCCTGCCATCAGTGATCCACAAAATACCTACACCTATGCAAGCTTTAAAGGAACTAGTGTAGACATCTTCATACCATATCGAAACAATGCCAGAAATGCATCACTGCACACAAGAAGCAGCCCAAATTAATATCAAGGCACAACCTTTGCAACCTCAACCACCACATTACCACCCTATCCTAACCACATTGCTGCCATAACTCAGCTACACCTACACTGCCTTGGCCCATCAAGAGATCAACCATGATCCAGTTACTAATCAAGCTCAGATAGTAGTATATCCCACTAGATATATGACAACACTACTTGGCAAGCCAAATTGGAATATCCACTTCTTCATATTACTTTACTTCTTTTCAATTCAGACAGTAAAAGAACTGCAAGTGTACCTTTCGTAAAGGAATTTGAAGTTGAGGAATAACATAAGGACCCATTCATTTTTTTATGAAGAGAACTAAAATAACCATCATAAGCATGTCACATGTGCACACACATTACAGTACAAAACAAGATAAAAGGTTGTGATTCATCTATTTCCCAGTGAATCCATCAATAAAAGGTCTGCCAGCATTGAGATCAGAGAGAGGACGTTGAGCAAGAACACTGAAGCAGCTGTTGTTAATGGAAAAATAGAAATAAAAAGAATAAAAAAGACACAGTAGAAAAGGAATACTTACAAACGCTGCAAAGTGGCATGGTAAAGCATGCTCCCAATAGCAAGTATCATATTGGAGATGTGAAGAACGCTAAATCTCTTCTCAAAGCGTTGCCTCAAAGCATTGATAAGGCCAATGAGTGCCAACAAGATGCCTGGAATATTCGATATAGTGTTGAAGAACTCGGCAATATAAGAAGAGTAGACATAATTTTGCTCACACCAATCTTTGGATGTGACAGGACCCCAAAAGCTGGATAAGCCATCTGCCATAATTCGATAAGTATTGACTCAACGTTCACCAGGATGATCTTGTGGAGTTCATAAAACCTGCGATCATGCCATTTTTAAAAGGTAATCGAACAGAAAAAACAAAACAAAAAACTTGGAAAAAGTCAAAGAACAAGTGCATGCTTTACTAGTTATAAAATAACTAACAGTCAACTCAGGAAAAAAGCATAATTATCTACGCTTAAATTTAGTAAGAGTTACATCTTCTCTTGTCAAATACTCTGAGAAAAAAAAATTGCAACCGAAAGTTGAAACTAGGCAGTGATGTCTCTAATATTACAATACGATAGCGTTTTAACAAGGGGAGAAGAGGAGAAAGAAGGAAGGAAGGAAGGAGTGAGTGGATACCTGGAAGGAATTAGGCAGTGAGACTGAGACTAACTTGTAGATGCCGCCACACATTCAACATCCACATAATAAGAAGAATAATAATAAAATCACCACTTCCTCTTCTTTATGCTGCTCCTCACGGTGGTGGTGCCGCCAGAGAGAGAGGCAACTGCAACTGCAACTGCAACACTCGGATGTAAAATTAGGGATTGGAATTGGCTGGGGGATTTTGAAAGCGGCTTGGCTTGGCTTAGCTTGGTTGTGACGTTGTATTTGTGTTGAAAATTGGAGGGATGGGATGGGATCTGCTTTGCTTTTAGAGCGCGTTGGGTTCTTCGCGTGGATCGTAGGCTCAGATGGCAAACACTAACTGCCAAAAGGAAAGAGGCGCACACGGAAATCCTTTTTCCGGTTTCACACAATAACAACTCAACTCAATTGATTTGTTGATGGAGAGCATAACTTTGTTTTAAATTTTAATGGTGCAGTCTTGCCGACATGGGTTTAGTCAAGTTGGTTAGAATGGATGTGTTCTCTACTCTACACTCGAGTTCGAATACCTCTCCCTCTAATAAATTATACATATAGTTATATTTTCATCCCTTAACTCCAAAAATAATTACAAAGGTCTCCCAATTATGTATCATGCAGTGGCGATTCTGAGCTTTCAGGGGCCCTGTACCAAAACAACAAAAGGGCCTCCTAAAAGTCTTCAACAAAAAATTATAAAAAAGAATCAAACTATATAATCAAAGTCTTGTGATCATCAAATTACTAATTATCAATAACAAATAAAAAACACAAAATCTGAGAATTTGAGAGAGAGAGAAAGTTAAGTGGTTGAAGGCCGAACCTTGAAAAAAAAAAATTTAGATACATGCTGCTGTAAAAAAAAATTGCATACAAAGTTATATGTTGGAGGTCTCTTATATTAGGCAACATAAAAATCAATATTAAATAGGAATAGGAAAATCGACATTAATATTATCTTATGGCTAAATTATTGAAATGCCCCCTGTAACTCAATTTCAGTCTCAGTTTCCCCCGTGAAACTCTAAGTGTCTCACTTTCCCCCCTAAAACTCCATATATTGTCTCACTTTGCCTATATTCCATCCAGCCCTAACAGAAGTCGTCAAATCTTAACCCGCCAAAAACAACCTTCCCTTACAAATTCAGATACTCTCTGAATCTGCAACTACACCCAGACTCATTTGCAAAACCAAACCCCTCCAAACTCCAAGAGATGAAGAACAACCTCCAACAATGGCGGCAGCCCAACTCCTTCTCTCTCTCTCTCTCTTTCCTCCGCCCTCCCGAGATGAAGAACACCCTCCAACAATGGCGGCAGCCCAACTCCTTCTCTCTCTCTCTCTCTTTCCTCCGCCCTCCCCACCCAAACCCTCGTCAACACAGCCGAAATCCTCTCAGATTTCTGCTACACCTCCATGGCTCTAACCCTCGACCTCGCCTCTCAAACCCTCCTCCTCTCCCAGTCTCCTTCTCTCACCATCTTCGACTCCACAGACGCCGCCTTCTCTCACTCCGGTCAACCACCGCTGAACCTCCTGCAATTCCACATCATCCCCCTTTATTTCTCTCTCCGATCCCTCAAGTCCCTGCCTTTCGGCGCCAAGATCTCAACTTTACTCTATGATCGCTCTCTCTCTGTCACCACTTTGGCCTACGACCCCAGAGTCTCACTCAACAACGTCCCCATCACTATTTCCCCATCACTGTTTCCCCAATTTTTGACTTCTGTTAAGGCTGGATGGAATATAGGCAAAGTGAGACAATATATGGAGTTTCAGGGGGGAAAGTGAGACACTTAGAGTTTCAGGGGGGAAACTGAGACTGAAATTGAGTTACAGGGGGCATTTCAATAATTTAGCCTTATCTTATTAATATAAGAGAAGCCAAAGTTACACATTTCCTCACATCAATAGGGTGCTTGTGGGCCCAATATGGAATGAATGCTTCTTGAGGAAACGTTTCCTCTTCGTGCACTTGTTCCATCACTTGATTCCGATTGAGCTCCAAGCACATACGAGGATTCTCTTTGTCTCGGATGATTGTTGGTTTCACCATCATTTGCGGATTGATTCCTCATGCGATCTTCTTTCGTCATTTGGGGATCCAAATATGAATCCCTGCATGGTGCCAATCTGTCCAAGCAGTCGGTCCACCAATCTGGTTTGGTTTTCCAATCTATCTGCCGAATTTGAAACTTGATGATTCAAAGTCCCCGGCTGGATGTCCTTTTGGATAGTCTACTGGACTGGCGGGAAGCGTCAACCAAGTGCGAGTGAAAATAAACACAACTAGCAGGAGATAAAATAATGAACACAAACAACACCAACAAGAACACTAAGATTTATACTGGTTCGGCAATGCCTACATCCAGTTTGGAGACGACGGAGTATTCCACTATAATCAAATGAGAGAATACAATAGTGTTTAACACTCAGAAACCCAAGCCCCAAATATACCCAAGCTCACACACTCAAGAATATATAAGGAGAACACAAATTGAGTACAATTTTAGAGAAAGGAAAAATCAACTCTTTATTTTTCTCTCTCTGCCGACTTCTCTCTCTGCAGCTCTTCTACACCTCCTCTACTTCAGCTGCTACATGCTTCCATTTATAGCCAATGAAGTTGGCTCTTCAAGGAACCCAGGGCCAAAGGCCTCCAAACAAGTAGGGTAAGCCATCAATGCTATCTATCATTATGTCTCCCATATGCTGCTGTCCAAAGGCAAAATATAAAAAATAGTATACCTGTGTGGCTATGCATAGTTTTTTTTAAATAAATCGTATAGCCGGGTGGCTATACAATGTTTCTTTAAAAATAGTATAGCCGCGCGGCTGTACTAAATTTTTTTAAAAATAATATAGCCGCGCAGCGTTACAGGGTTTATATATATATATATATATATATAATAAATAGTATAGCTGAGCGGCTATACTTTTCAAGTGTGTAGCATTCGTGGAGTTGAGCCATGACTGAGACCACCAATGGATTGAATCAGTTTGCATAAATGATGCGACTTTATAGCACAACAAACAAACTAAATGTCGACATGATATCAACATAATGACATTATCTTTCCCAAAATACATTGATTAAATAAAGGATTCAGATCCTCTGTTATGATTTTCTTTGTCATGATCTGCTTGACTTTTGTTTTTCATACGCCACCTAATTAAAATTTAATCTAAGGAATTTAAAAGTTGACACATCATCCTAAATTCAAAAAGAAAATAACCCTAACACCCAACTAACGGGATAGTTAACGTCCAAAGTCATCTTTTTTCCTCTCCTTCCTACTTCACGTTATGGCCTCTTCTCTTTTTTGCCTTCTTCCTCATGTTTTGGCTTTTTTTTATCTTATTGCCTTTGCCCCACAATCTTACCTTTCTTTACCCCAAACCTCTGTAATCATAATCCCTTCTCTTTTCCCTATCGAAAGAAAAAAAAAAAAAAAAAACAACTTCTCTTCCTATATCCATTGTTTGATGAGTGTGATTGCAGAGAAAATATTCCTTTATACTGACTTTCAGCCTTTGTTAAAGAATAATATCCTTTCCAAGGCTAGATGGTCTGGAAGCAACTCTTGGTGCTCTGTGTTTGTGTTTAGCTGTTGGTATTTATGGAAATGGAGAAACCAATCTATTTTTAATGTTGAGGAGGCTGCACCCTTTAATCCAAGGCAAATTATCTTATCTGCTCTATCTAAATGGAGTAAGGCTTCTGGTGGTGGTAATATAGCTGGAGAGAAAGTGCATATTCTCTTGGCGTGGGATTTTCCTGGTATTGGAGGATTTAAACTGAATGTGGATGGATCTTGTAAATCTGCATTTGGGAATAGGGAGATTCACTATTATACCCAATATAAGAGCCCAAATTATAAAAAAAAACCATATATTAAATGGACTTTAGAAACACACCCAAAGCCCATTTACAACATAACAAAAAGGCTTTAAAGTTCTTTTAAATTACAAAACTACAATTGATTTCTTAAAACAAACCCAACCCCAAAACCTCATAAAAAAGCTCAAAACACTCAATAGGGCATCAAAGTAATTTAATAATCAAAATTAAATTCAATAGGGCCAATAGTCATTTTTTGGGTGTTTTTTTGGGTTTGTTTATAGAAATTAAATAGTGTAGAGTTTATTTATAGTTTTAGTGCTAAAAATGAGTATATGACTAAATATCTCTTGGGAATATTGGCACTGGGGGTGTTCTTCACGACTGCTTTGGGGATTGGCTTAAGGGATTTGCTGTGAATTTGGGGAAGGGCCAAATTCTTGAAGCTGGGTTATGGGTCTATTTTTTGGTCTTAAAATGACTTTGGAAAAAGATGTTAATAGGCACATCGTCAGATCCCCTTGGATAAAGCTTAGTTGTTCTCTGGGGTTTATCCCCCATTTCATCCACACCAAAAAAGCAAGATTATAAGGATTAAGGCAAAAAAGAGAAGAGGACATAACTTGAAGTAGGAAGGAGAAAAAAAAATTACTTCAAAGGTTAACTATCCCGTTAGTTGGGTGTTAAGAGTTTTTTTCTTTTTTAATTAGGAGTAAATTGGGCTTCTGTTTTTAGGATGATGCGTCAACTTTTAAATCTCTTAGATTAAATTTAAATGAGGTGGCGTATGGAGAACAAACATAAAGCAGATCATGACGTAGAAAATGCAAGCAGAGGATCCAGATCCAAAATGTAATTTGATATCTATCTATATATAAATCAAAAGGTAGAAAATGATAAAATATTCAAAATACCAGAAAATGCCATTGGTTAGGTTAGGTTTTTTTTTTTTTTTTTTTTTCCTGGTCTGAATGCGCGAGTTAGGTTAGGTTTTCATTCTCTCTCTCACTCTCAGGTTCTCTCTTCTCCGGCAAAACCCCTCCCCCCCTCTCTCTCTCTTTTCTCTACTTCGATCCTCACTATCAGTCGATCAGCCACCGCGCCGCCTCCAGCTCTGCACGCAGGTCAGCTTCTCTCTCTATCTCTCTCTCTCTCTCTCTTATTTGTTCTTTTTTTTTCCTCGTCGGTTCTTTGCTCCGCTAACTCTCTCTTTGCTCTCTCTTCTTATCTCGATTTTTCTATGTTTCTCAGTCTCAGTTAATGATCGCCGACAAAATTTATTCCTCTCCTGCGATTTCTTCCGTGGGTTTCTCTCTCATATCAGTTAAAGGTGAGAACATCATCTTCCTTTGAATCTAGGGTTTATTCTAAATTAAATTTATGTTTTTTTATTTAAAAATTAGGCTTGTCGATTTGGTGGTTGAGGTTGATGTGATGAAATATTTGTTCTATTAAGGGTTTAGGGTTGTCGAATTAGGGCTGCAACGAATTAGTTTATGTTGTGCTGTGATGATTATCTGAAATTGACAAAGAAATTATGAAATGTTAGTTTCATTAAACTAATTAGGG